TTCAGTGAAACAACAAAATTGGTCGCAAGGAGGGTGCTTCAAATCACACCTGCCACTGGATTTTTCCTCCCCTTTTGAAGCAGGCAGTTCAAATGAAGCTTATTTGGATTGGAAGAAATTGGTGTTGTATTTCTCGACAAAGGGGTGTCACAGAGGTCTAGCTAGGGCACGGCTTTCTTATCTGGTGTTTTCTCCAAGTCTTAATGCCCGACGGGGCTAACTGGGCTGCAGAAAAGTAAACATCAAAGGTGCTGCCAGGTCCACCCCTGTGTGGTAAAGAGACACCACCCGGGGGCCCTGTGAGACTGGCCGTGGGAGGGTGAAGCACCCACCAGCTCTAGCCCAGAGTTGCAGGCTACAGACCTAGTGTCCCTCCATGCCGAATCGCTTCCCTCCACTTCCCAACCTTGAAGCTACCGTGTTTCCCGAATATTAATACTACCATAAATGGGCCCTGGCCAAGGCATTTCTAAGCATTTTTGGCAATTAAGCCCACCCGAAAATAAGGCTAGCGAAGGCGGGTTTGGACTGGCGCAGGCGCGTCTGCACAGGGCCCACTGGCATTTTGTGTCTGCGCCTCTCGACGCGAGGACAGAAAGACGGGCCTGCCATGAGCAGGGCCCCTTCTCTCTGGCCGTGAGAGCTCTAGGCTGCCTCCACAGGAGAGTCGGGGGCCGCTGCGCTTGCTGGATAGGGAAATAGAGGGCGCAAGAAATTCGGGGATGGGATTCGGGGGGTTTGGAGAGGTGAGGATGATGGTTCCAGAAGAAGCTTAACTATATTTGAGCTATGTTGCCAGATTGCCATGTAACCATAAAACAAGGCTCTCAGGTGCTTTAAGGCTTTTTGCCCCATCACACAAGAGCAAAATGGGTTACGTTGCCTCAATGCACGAGCCCCCACAAATACTGTCGTGGCGCGACCTGTGGAGTGCCGGCCTGCTGGGCAGGTTGGCGCTGGCCAGTGAGCGCTGTACCGAGCTGGTAGATTTAAAAAAAAGGAAATAGCACATCTCCTGAAGAAATAACCTAGGGCCGTCTTCTGGAGGGGGAAATATCAAGACCCTGGTCTTGTGGTCAGGAGAACACGGTATGCCTGGCACCAAAGGGGTTAACTCAATGGGCGTTGCGGATGTTCAGAGCCTTGCACACCCAAAGAAGCGGCTGGCCCTTGAGTGTTTCCTGGGGGGGTAGGGCCTCCGGCGGACTTTGCGAATGACCTGGCACTCACCAGCAACGTACGGCGTAGCGGGGGGCCACCCCGGACAGTTCCACGCTGCACCGCTGGTCTGCGGCCGAAGTGCCTGTGGCCCTGGGGCCCTCTGCGTCAGACTGATCCCCAAAGGGGCTGCGGACTGAGCTAGCTTAAGGGTCAGGCGAGGTGCTCGGGGCTGGTGACGGGAGCCCCATAAAAACTCTGAGCACCAGAGCCCGTGCAGACTTCCGGGGTTGGCCGAGACTCACAGGTGCCGTCTGTCGGGGCCCAGGTCGGTGGGCTGGCCTGAGAACTAGGCGCTGTCGCCAGCCCTACGGCGGGAACTAGAAACCCATATCTGGTGTCTCCCGGCCTCTGCCCAGTGCCCCCGCTGCTTTTGCCGAGTTGAATCTGTGCCTGTCAGTGTAGCAAGACGTGACTGCGAGGACCATAGCCTTTCTGAGGTCTCTGTGAGTGTTTCTAATGAATCATCGAACCTGAAAACGGTCTTGGGGGGCCTGACGCAGAGGCGGTGGGTACTGCTTTATTATGAGAAACAGTGGCTTTTTCTTTATCTTCTTCAGTTCTCCCACTCCTTGAGAAACTCAGGGGCATGAGTTGACCTCTCATCTTGTTGGCACCCGACAGCACTTCCTCCCCGATAAACCCGGGCGGGTGACAGCGGGGGCTGTGCCACCTCTCCCTTGTCCGCTGCCCTCCCTCAAGTTCTCGGCACGCGCTCAGAGATAAACGGAGACCTTGGACACCTCTCGTGCCTGTCCCTTTATTTCAGTGTCCTCCCCGCTAAACAAGCTAAGCAGGACATGTGTGTCCAGCCCGAGGCCGGTTGGGCGTGAGATTGTCCCCAGGACTCCCCTCCCCGGTCCCCTTCCCTCCTTTCTGGCCGGCAGGGCTGGGGGCCCCTCACATGGCACTCTCATTGCCTCCCCGCCCCCTGGAGGCCCTTCCTGGGCCGTGAGGGGATTGTAGCTCCCCAGGCTGGGAGGGTCAGCTCCAGCCTTCCTGCAGGCTCAGCTCCCGGCTGGGACAATGTTGCTCGATGACCGCAGCCCCGATCGAGTCCCCCAGCACGTTGGTCATCGTGCGAAGCCGGTCACTGGCGGAGGGGGAGGGGGAGAGAGAAGCAGGTGTTCATGGGGGCCCGAAAAGCTGCACAAGGGAGAGGGTGCAACAGAGGTCGGGGGTGGCGGGGAGCCCCCTGTACCTGCCAGTAGCATCCGTGACCCCATGAACTCAAGCAGCTTCCTCACCCTCCCTTCCCTCAGTTTCCCCTGCCAACAAACGCAGGCTGGACCCGCTCTGAGATATTCACATTTGATCTTAGCAATGCGACTTTAAAAAAAAACAAAAAAAAACAAGATATGAACATCTGATACGATGGTTAGGCACCGTCAGCTGAAAATCATAAAGAAAAGGACGGTAACCACCGTGAGTAAATCAGGCCAGGCCTGAGTCAATAGAGGGCTGACTAGGGCGGGCTGCAGACCGTCAGATGGGACTCAGGCCCAGCGAATGCTCCCACGCGGGGATGGGCAGTCCAGATTTTTTTTTTTTTTAAATGTAAACCTCCTGCTTTTTAAAAGCTGACAATGTTTTCTTTTTGATACAGGTTCTCACTGTCTCCCAGAGAAATGTTTTAAAAAATGTATGCAGTGCCATCTATCTACTCAGGAAACTGAGGCAGGAGGAGCCCAGCCTGGGCAACACAGCAAGACCCCATCTCTAAAAAAAAAAAGAAAGAAAGAAAGAAAGAGGGCCCCGGGTGCGGTGGCTCACGCCTGTCATCCCAGCACTCTGGGAGGCCGAGGCGGGAGGATTGCTTGAGGTCAGGAGTTTGAAACCAGCCTGAGCAAGAGCGAGACCCCGTCTCTACTATAAAATAGAAAGAAATTAATTGGCCAACTAAAAATATCTATAAAAAAAAATGAGCCGGGCATGGTGGCGCATGCCTGTAGTCCCAGCTACTCGGGAGGCTGAGGCAGGAGGATCGCTTGAGCCCAGGAATTGGAGGTTGCTGTGAGCGAGGCTGACGCCACGGCACTCACTCTAGCCTGGGCAACAGAGCGAGACCCTGTCTCAAAAAAAAAATAAAAAAAGACTGTCCCACTTTACGATTGCTTTGTGTGTGCAGAGTGTGCACAAAGGCGCTTTGCCCAAAGACTGGTTACAGAGCGTTCAATAAATTCATCCTTCGAATGCACATTTAGTCAGCATCCACTACGTGCTAGACACCTAGCAGAAATTCCCACAGAAGAAAATCCCTGGCCAAACAGAGCCTGCATTCAGGGGAAGGAGGCAACAAGCACGCTGAATTAGTGAAATCCACACTAAGGCAGTCGGCGCCACTTGGGGAAACGGTGCAACCTTACAGAGTCCAGGTGTGCAATCTTACACAGGGCTTCCCTGAAAAGGCAACACTGGAGCAAAGACCTGGAGGAGATGATAATGTTTGCTGTGACTTTTATAAGGACCAAATTAGAACTTCCGGATGAGGGGACCCAGGGATCTATATTGACAAGAAGAACCTCGGGTTATTAGGGTGCACCAGGCATACTTTGGAAAGCGCCGGACAAAGGGACGTCCCACAACAGCATGTGAGAGGAGAACCGGCCGGGCACATCTTCCCAGCTCCGGACAGCCTCAGGTGGGCCAGTCTCACCTCCCACCTCACCTGGCACTGGGTCTTCCCACATTCCCCCCCCCAACATCTCAGGGCTCCCTTGCGCTCCAGCTGTGGCTCCCTCCTCCCCCACGGCCAAGCTGGTATCTGACCTCTTAGGGCCCCCCTGCGGGCAGGTTCCCCTCCCCAGGGCACCTCACCTGATGGTTGTGATCTGGCCCAGGTTGAGCTCGTAGTTGTTGACTTGGGCAATGAAGATGGCAGCCAGGGCTTCGTAGAGGGCAGTGCCGTCCATGTTGACCGTGGCCCCCACGGGCAGCACGAACCTGGTGATGCGGCGGTCCACGCCCAGGCCCTCCTCCAGGCAGCGGAAGGTGATGGGCAGCGTGGCGGAGCTTGCGGAGAGAGCGAGCCGGAGGGTGAGCACAGGGCGTGCCCAGGTGGGGCAGGGGCGTGGCTGCCAATGGGGCGTGGCCGTGGGCATAGCCAGGCGGGTGGGGCATGCCTGCATGGGGGGGCGTAGCTGGAGGGGCGTGGCTGTGGGTATAGCCAGGTGGGTGGGGCATGCCCGCGGCGGGGGCGTGGCTGGAGGGGAGTGACTGTGGGTATAGCCAGGTGGGTGGGGCATGCCCGCGGAGGGGGCGTGGCTGGAGGGGAGTGACTGTGGGTATTAGCAGGTGGGGTTGGGCAGTGCCTGCGGTGGGGGCGTGGCCTGTGCGGTGGGTTGGCGGAGAGTGGACGTGCTGAGAACCGGGGCATTTAGTTGGGGGGGCACTGAGAAATGGCAGACCAGGAGATGTGGCTGGGAACAGGGCACAGCCAGGTGGGGGCAGGGGCATGGCTGAGAAAGTGGGGCTGGGCCACGAGGGTGGGCTGAGGTGGGGTGGTAGCCAGAGTGGAGGCGTGAGAGGTGGGGTAGCCAGAGGTGGGGCTGAGAGTGGGGCCAGAGGTGGGGGTGAGAGTGGGGCGTGGCCAGAGGTGGGGCTGAGAGGTGGGGGGGGCCAGAGGGTGTGTGGGTGAGAGTGGATCGTGGCAGAGGTGGGGGCTAGAATGGAGCGATGGCGCAGAGGTGGCTGAGCAGTGGGGCGTGGCCAGGAGTGGCTGGGGTGGGGCGTGGGCCAGAGTGGGTCTGAGGTGGGGGGGTGCCAGAGGGTGGGCTGAGAGTGGGGGGTGCCAGGAGGTGGGGTGGAGGAGTGGGGCGTGGCCAGGGGCCCCTCGAGGTGGCGAGAGTGGGATGTGCCAGAGGGTGGGGCTGAGAATGGGGCGTGGCCAGAGGTGGGGCTGAGAGTGGGGCGTGGCCAGGGCAACAAGGGGCCAGATGAGATTTCCCCTTGGAAACACCGAGAAGGCCAGGTGAGAGTCCAGCAAGAGGCAGAGGGGAGGCACATAACATTTCAGAGGCTGACTGTGCATGGCCCGCGGAGCTCCTCAGGACACGGGGAGAGCAGAGCAATGCGGGTCCCCCAGGCTGAAGATCTCTTGACCCACTTACAGCCCATAGCTTGAGGCCAACGACTGGACACCAGTCTATGCCACTGGTTCACTCTAACTGTTCACTGCCAGAAAGGAGAGGATTAACGGTCTGCTGACCTCCCACAGCTCAGCGCTAAAAGAGGGGTACTACAGAGGACCCTAGTTCCCGGCACTGCGAGTGACCCTGGCTGTGCTAATTCTCTCTCTCCCTGCCGCTTCACAGGAGAGGAGGAGTGACTTCACTGATCGGGAAGTTTAGCAGGAGTGGGCCATCTCGTTTGGGATCGGCCTGCCCACGGGACCTGTGCTCTGCCTGGTCGGCTTTACATAATTTGGCAAGAAGCCTGGACTCACGGAGCAGGCCTTTGGGTGTCCGGCTTGGCGGTGACCAGGTGGGTTTAATTCCGGGACACGGCAACATCAGGCTGGCTTAGCCACAGCCCAAAAGGCACGCTGGCCGGTCAGCGTTACCGGCAATTTAGAAATGGTGTTTTCCCTCCATCTGTTTGGCTCTCGTGACACTTCTCAAATTGTTTTGAATTTGGGTGATGTGGGAAGAGGGGCTTTTTATTAACCCCCTAAAAAAAAAAAAAAAAAAAAAAGGAGAAGGAAGCCAAGAGAGCTCCCAGACACCCTCTCAAGGGGAGATGAGATCTGAGCGAGGAAATGACTGAGCTCTCAGGGCAACCTGGAACCTTCCTCCTAACCTCAAAATTGGCATGTGGGTCTCTCCTCCATAGGAAATGGAAAAACAGGAGAGGAGGAAAAGGGACCAGGAGAGCCAGCCTAGGACAAGGTCCAGCCCCCTCCAAGAGACCCTCAAGGGCCCCTGACAGTACTGCGCAGGGACGGGGCAGGACTGCTAGGAAAGCCCACGAAAGGCGGGGAGCGAGTGCAGGGAGGGCAGCAGGGCAGGCAGCAAGGCCGTACCTGGACGACGTGCCCATGGCGGTGATGAGGGCCTGCAGGATGCCCCCGATGAAGGGGAAGGGGTTCCGGTGAGTGACGAGGAAGTAGATGAGGGGAAGGACGCCGCCAGCGTGGAGGAACAAGCCCACGATGACAGTCAGGGTGTACATGCCCAGCTGGCCTCCCAGCACGGCCATGTCTTCCATCTCCAGAATTTTCCCGGCAATCAGGAAGAGGATGCCCACAGGCGCGTACCTAGGCAAGCCACACACCTGTCGGGCCTCCCTCCCGGCCTCCCTGCGGGGCCGAAGCCGGCATCTCCAACGCCGCACCCACGGACGGCCCTGGAGCCAGGCGGCGCCCACCACGCGGCACCCCGCTCCACCCCAACCCTCCCCACGCCCCACGGGCACAGCCCGCCTCCTCCCCCTGCTCCCCGACAGCAGGGACGTCCCGCAACTCCGGGACATAGAACCTTACCCGGGTCCCTCCGCCATTCATCCCCATTCAACCCTCCCCCTCTGCCCCCATGTCACATCTTTCAGACGTCTCCTTCGCTAGACAGTCCAGATAGTCCCTACCTCTCAGCCTTCTAAAACCTCCCTTAGTTTCTTTTGGTCCCACACTTGACGAACCTTCACACCCCCGTTCCCCTTCCTAGTAGCGCAATATGGTCACTCCAGGGTAGCCGCCGGGCTATTTCACCAGCCATTCCCGCCCCACATCGTCCACGGACCAGTCCTTATCAAAAATCAACCGACCGGCGTATCCGTTCATGGGGGAGTCGACGGACCATGAGACCCTGCCAGGGTCTCGGCACAATGGTATCCGTTGAGGACCTGAACCTTTGATTGTTTTTTTTGTTTTTTTTTTTGCTAAAAACTCCTTTCCATAGAAGAGGGCCAGCTGGATCCAGGCGGTTCGGACAAAATGGGTAATTCCCACTGAGCGGCTGTTGGTAACCAAATAAAGCGGTTGATTTACTTCCCAACCTGATCTCGGTATGGCATTAACATCACCTAAACAGTGAGAAGCCCTGTCTTACTCAGCATCCTAGCAGATGCCTACTCTTTACATTTAAAGCAATTAACATCTTAGGCAGGCGCCTATTGTGAATTTAAAATGTCCTCCTGTCTGGACCTCCCAGAGTGCCCACACCCTTATCTTAAAATAAGCATATCCTTTTCTGGTCTTCTAGATAAAGTCTAACTCGCTCAGCCAATTGCCAGCCAAAGAATCTTTAAACCCACCTATATAACCTGTAAGCCCCCGCTTCGAGATGTCCCACCTTTTGGGGCCAAACCAATGTCTGCCTCTCACGTATTGATTTGTGACTTTGCCTGGAACCCCTGTCTCTCTGAAAATGTATAAAACTGAACTGTCACCCAGCCACAGCCAGCCCACTTGCTCAAGGCTTCTTGAGAGTGGCTCCGGGCCATGGTCCTCAAATTGGGCTCAGAACAAACTTCTTTCAAAGATTTCAGGGCTTGGATTTTTTCTGTCCACACTGTCCTCACGGTGCTTACGTTCTGCTATGCACAGAATGCTCCTGTCTGCCCCAAAACTCACACGCTGAGATCCTGATCCCCAAAGTGACAGTGTCAGGAGTTGGGCCCCCTGGGAGGTGGCCGGGTCACGAGGACGGGGCCCTCATGAATGGGATGAGTGCCCTTACACAAGAGACCCCAGAGGGCTCCCCGGCCCCTGCCGCCCGGTGAGGACACAGCAAGCATACGGCCAGACCCAGACGATGGCCCTCACCTGACGAACGATGGCCCTCACCTGACGAACGATGGCCCTCACCTGACGAAGGTGTGGGTGCCTTGATCTTGGATTTCCCACCCTCCAGGACTGGGGCAGGTAAGTGTTTGTTGGCCGGGCGCGGTGGCTCACGCCTCTAATCCCAGCACCATGGGAGGCCAAGGCGGGCGGATCGCTCAAGGTCAGGAGTTCGAAACCAGCCTGAGCAAGAGTGAGACCTCGTCTCTACTTCCTTTGCACCGGACGCCCTCGCTAACACCTCCGGCTTCCAACTTGCTCTGCGCCCTCCCCTTCCTCAACTCCACTCCCCTTTAAGGTGTGTTAGTAGCTTCTGGAAGGAATTAAGAAATGTGGGATGGGATCTGGGAGGTAAGAAGGGAGTGTGAGGAAGTTAAAACAGAGGCGCAGAGGGCTCCTTTCTCCTGCACAGTAAATTATAGAGAGTTAATTAATTGAAACATCCGTTCTGCAAACCAGTCTGGCACTTTCCAGCTTTGCATGTTCTGTTCCCTCTGTCTTGAGCACTTCTCTGTCGGCCGGATTCCTGCTCACCGGTCAAGGCCCAGCTAAGAGGTCAAGGCCCTTCTCTATGGCATCTCCTCTCCATCCCAGGCGGCATTCGCCGCATCTCCCTCCATTCGCTGCCCCTTCTCCACGTCCCCCAGTTTCTAAGTGTCCCTTTGCTATAGAGTCTGCACCCCGGCTGTCCTCCCCGAGACTTTGCGAGCTCCTCTCGGCACGGATGCAACGTACCTCCGTGCTCCAGAGGACTGTTTGAAGGAATGAAGGAACTTACAGAACGAATGAACAGATGAATGCACCAATTAAGGAACAACTAACTAGCAAGGGGATACATGAGTGAGAAAATGAACAGACAGGCCGGGCGCGGTGGCTCACGCCTGTCATCCCAGCACTCTGGGAGGCCGAGGCGGGAGGATCGCTCGAGGTCAGGAGTTCCAGACCAGCCTGAGCAAGAGCGAGACCCCGTCTGTACTGAAAATAGAAATAAATTAATTGGCCAACTAAAAATATATAGAAACAATGAGCCGGGCGTGGTGGCGCATGCCTGTGGTCCCAGCTACTCGGGAGGCTGAGGCAGGAGGATCGCTTGAGCCCAGGAGTCTGAGGTTGCTGTGAGCGAGGCTGACGCCACGGCACTCACTCTAGCCTGGGCAACAGAGCGAGACTCTGACTTAAAAAACAAAAAGAATGAGTGGCTGAAGGTGTGAGTGAGTGAGGAAATCACTGCAGGAGGACAAGGCAGCAGCGAGTGGAGCAGTTAGCAGGGGAAGGAGCCGGGACGCCGGTGAATGACTTTGGCCAAAGGTCTCCGGCAAGCGCTCCCGTGGCCTCCCCCACCCCGGCTCCTGGTCCCCGTTGGCGCAGCCCAGCACTCACCAGATGATTATGCCCACCAGCCTCATGATGGCCTCATTGAGGCTGTCGAAGAAGTCCCTGAGGACCCGGCCCTTGTGCTTCATGCCGCCGATGACCAGCCCGAAGGCCACAGAGAAGACCACGAGGCCCAGCGCGTTGATGCCGTTGGCCGAGCCGGGCACGGGCACGGTCTCCTCAAAGGTCAGCACCTCTTGCAGGGTGCCCAAGGCCCGGGTGACATTTTCCAGGAAGCTGGTCCCGTTCTCCGCCGGGAAGGGGGGAGGCTCGGACGCGCCCAGCTCGGACCCGTTCTCCGTCCGCACGACCGTCCTGGTCACCACCCTCGTGCTGTACTGCGTCTTGAACTGAAACACAGACACGCCGCCCGGACCTGGCTCAGGGGGTGCAGCCGCGTCGCCTGGACCAGGCGTCCTCCAACCACGGCCCGCGGCGTTTCGGCCCGTTTGTTTCACTTCGAAATAAGCTATGTGCGGCGTGCACGGGAATCTGTTCCTCGTCTTTTTAAAACCGTAGTCCGGCCCTCCAACGGTCTGAGGAATTGGGAAAGCCACTGCGGAAACAGTACAGAGGATCCTCACAAAAATGAGAAATAGGCAAACCGGGGCGGCGGCTGTGTCCGGCACTTGGGAGGGAGGCGGGAGGATCGCTTGAGCTCAGGAGTTCGAGACCAGCCTGGGCAAGAGCGAGACTCGGTATCTCTACTAAAAATAGAAAGAAATTAGCCAAACAACTAAGAAGTAGAAAAAATTTAGCCGGGCATCAGTGGCACAAACTGCCCTGTACGTCCCCAGATCACTTTGCCGAGGCTGAGGCAGGAGAATCGCCTTTGAGCCCAGGAGCTCTGAGGTTGCGTGCTGAGTGAGGCTGCACGCCCAACGGCATCTCCTAGCCGCCGGGTAACCAGAGTGAGACCTGCTATCTCCAAAAAAAAAAAAAAATCAGAAATAGAACTACATTAGGACCCAGCAATCCCACTACTAGGTATATATCCAAAAGAAATAAAATCAGTATTTCAAAGAGATACCTGCACTCTCATGTTCTTTGGAGCACTATTTCGACAGTCAAGATATGGGAGCAACCTAAGAGTCCATCTATAGCTGAACAGGTAAAGAAAATGCTGGCCGGGCACGGTGGCTCACGCCTGTCATCCTAGCACCCTGGGAGGCTGAGGTGGGAGGATCGCTTGAGCTCAGGAGTTCAAGACCACCCTGAGCAAAAGAGCAAAACCCTGTCTCTACGAAAAAGAAAATAGAAAAATCGGCCGGACATGGTGGCGCACACCTGTGGTCCCAGCTGAGAGACGCTGAGGCAGGGGGATCGCTTGAGCCCAGGAGTTGGAGGCTGCAGTGAGCTACGAGGGCACCACTGCACGCTACCCGGGACCACAGAGCAAGACACTTTCTCACGTTAAATAAATAAAATTAAATGTCTTAAAAAGAATAATGGAGGCAGCGAACAGCCAACGCATGGAAGCATGAGTCCCGAGTCTGCATGTTTCACACGCTCCCCGAAGCAACATCTATCCAGATTGGAGAGCCTCCCCCCCCCCCAGCCATGCACGGTCAGGAGACCCCGAGTCTCCACCCCAGCCTGGAGACTTTGTCCCGTCCCATGCTCAGGCGACCCGCACCCCAAGTCCCTCTCGCTGGTCCTCCCTTGATCGTCCCACCCAAGGGAGACATGTTCCAGACCCGTCCAAGAGCCCCACCCCCTCGACACCCGCCGCCCCCGCGCCCCCCACCCCGAAACCTCCCTCATCCAACCGGGCCCTTCCCCCTCACCTGTTTGAAGCAGGCCTCCACGAGGTTGGGCGGGAACATGTTTCTGCAGAACAGCATGGGAGGAAGGAAGGCGGTTAGCCCCTGGAGGGGAGCGGGCTCCCTCGGTGACGGCAACATGAACAGTGACCACAACGGCCATGGCGGCAGCCAACACGTCGCACACGGAACGCACGCCTCGCCCCCGCCCTCCGACCCAAGCACTGCATACACAGCCCTGGAGGTGAGTGCTGCTCACGTCCCCTTCTTAGACGGGAAGAAACCGAGGCACAGAGGACGTACGCAGGCCACCCGCGGCTGCCCAGCTAAGAGGGGCAAATGCACCTCCAAATCGGGTCCGCCTGAGCCCCCTGCCAGGAGCCCTCCGTCAGCCGGGGACTTCAGTGCAAACACACATGCACCAGCGGTAGCCCCACAGAACCACAGAGGGCCCCTAAACCCCTGCGGCTCGAGGTTCCCCCAAGCCGGTGGACTATAAGGTTGCAGCCCTGGCTGGACCTGACTCTGGCTGGCAGAGTCGTGCTGCCCAGAGAGAATCGGGGCTCACCCTCCACGGGAGCCTGGGAGCCCCGGGCAAGTGCCGGCTGTTCCGACCCCACCCCGAGATGCCACGCCACGGAGGCGGTGGCGGCTACAGCCCCTCCAGCCCAAGGGTCAGAAGATCGCATCTGAGGAGGCGATGCAGTTGGAAAGTGTGTCAAACTGCATTGCCCGTGCAACTGCACAACTGCATCGCCCGTGCAACTGCGCAGCTGCATCGCCCATGCAACAGTGCAGCTGCATCGCCCGTGCAACCGTGCAGCTGCATCGCCCGTGCAACCGTGCAACTGCATCGCCCGTGCAACCGTGCAACTGCATCGCCCGTGCAACCGTGCAACTGCATCGCCCGTGCAACAGTGCAACTGCATCGCCCGTGCAACAGTGCAACTGCATCGCCCGTGCAACCGTGCAGCTGCATCGCCCGTGCAACAGTGCAACTGCATCGCCCGTGCAACCGTGCAACTGCATCGCCCGTGCAACCGTGCAGCTGCATCGCCCGTGCAACCGTGCAGCTGCATCGCCCGTGAAACCGTGCAGCTGCATCGCCCGTGCAACAGTGCAGCTGCATCGCCCGTGCAACAGTGCAGCTGCATCGCCCGTGCAACTGTGCAGCTGCATCGCCCATGCAACTGTGCAGCTGCATCGCCCGTGCAACCGTGCAACTGCATCGCCTGTCCAACTGCATCGCCCGTGCAACTGTGCAGCTGCATCACCCATGCAACTGTGCAACTGCATCGCCCGTGCAACTGTGCAGCTGCATCGCCCATGCAACTGTGCAACTGCATCGCCCGTGCAACCGTGCAACTGCATCGCCTGTCCAACTGCATCGCCCGTGCAACTGTCCAACTGCATCGCCCGTGCAACTGTGCAGCTGCATCGCCCATGCAACTGTGCAACTGCATCGCCCGTGCAACTGTGCAACTGCATCGCCTGTCCAACTGCATCGCCCGTGCAACTGTGCAACTGCATCGCCCGTGCAACTGTGCAGCTGCATCGCCCGTGCAACTGTGCAGCTGCATCGCCCGTGCAACTGTGCAACTGCATCGCCCGTGCAACTGTGCAGCTGCATCGCCTGTCCAAGCAACTGCTGCATCGCCCGTGCAACTGTGCAGCTGCATCGCCCGTGCAACTGTGCAGCTGCATCGCCCGTGCAACTGTGCAACTGCATCGCCTGTCCAACTGCATCGCCCGTGCAACTGTCCAACCGCATCGCCCGTGCAACTGTGCAACTGCATCGCCTGTCCGACTGCATCGCCCGTGCAACTGCATCGCCTGTCCAACTGTATCGCCCGTGCAACTGTGCAGCTGCATCGCCTGTCCAACTGCATCGCCCGTGCAACTGTGCAGCTGCATCGCCCGTGCAACTGCACAGCTGCATCGCCTGTCCAACCGCATCGCCCGTGCAACTGCGCAGCTGCATCGCCTGTCCAACCACATCGCCCGTGCAACTGCGCAGCTGCATCGCCTGTCCAACCGCATCGCCCGTGCAACTGCGCAGCTGCATCGCCTGTCCAACTGCATCGCCCGTGCAACTGTGCAGCTGCATCGCCTGTGCAAAACCCCAGGGCAGGAGTTGGGCACCGAGTCGAGAAGGAGTGTCACCTGATCAGATCCATGAAGGCGTCAGCTGTGGGGATGGTCTCGATCCGGCCCTCTCGGCGCAGCCCCTCCTTGGACCCCTTCCCGGGGTGGATGATGGTGACCATGAGGATGCCGATGAAGACCGCGATGACCGTGGTCACCATGTAGTACACGGCCGCCCGCATCCCCATGCGCCCCGTGGCCTTGTTGTCCAGTGACGCCATGCCTGGGGGACAGTCGAAGGTGCGGCCCCTGCATGCCCCACCGCCCGCTCCCCCACCCAGCCGTCCCACCCTCCCCCGTGTCGCCAGGGCGACTGGCATTGCGCCAGACATCCCCCCACCCCCCACCGTCCGTTCACCTGCCCCGCCGCCATCCTTCTACCCCGCCCTGTCTTCCGTGGACGCCGCCTCCACCCGCGCCCCCTCCCTCTGCTCCAAGCCACCCTTTTCCAACCCTCACCCCATCCTCGTTCGTTGCCCTTGGCGGACGGGTGTGGGAATTGGAAAGGACAGAGCTGGGGGCGGGTGGGGACAAGTCCAGGGTGCCATTCACACTCCAGGCTCTCCACGGGACCAGGCTGAGATGCCGGCCTTCTTCTAAGCCCACCCGTCTTTCCTTCACTGGTTTCCCTACTGCATTCCGCTCCCCTCGCTTCCTCCTGGGTTTCTCTCGAGAGGTGTCCCTTAATAAACCACCTGTGCAGATATCGCCACCTCAGCCTCTGCTTTTAGGAGACCCAACCTAAGAAACCATTCTTTCACGCCTCCTTCTTCATCCCCCGTCCCCAAATCCAAGGATTGGCAAACCGCCACCCACGTGCCATATCCGGCCCACTGCCTGTTTGTTGCAAATAAAGTTTTATTGGAACACAACCCGGTTGACCCTTGAACAACACAGGTTTGAACTGCTCAGGTCCACTTACATGTGGATTTTCTTCCACCTCTGCCACCCTGAGACAGCAAGACCAACCCCTCCTCCTCCTCCTCCTTAACATGAAGATGACAAGGATGAAGAACTTCATGATGATCCACCTCCACTTAATGAATTGTAAATATATTTTCTCTTTCTTATGATTTTCTTAATAACATTCTTTTCTCCAGCTTGCTTTATTGTGAGCATGCAATGTATAATACACATAGCACACAAAATGCGAGTTAATCTACTGTTCACGTCATCGGTAAGACTTCCAGTCAACAGTAGGCTATCAGTAGTGACATTTTTGGGGAGTCACAAGTTGTACGTGGATTTTCAACTGTGCGGAGGGGAATCAGAAACCCTAACCCCCATTCTTGTTGTTTAAGAGTCAACTGTAGGGCTGGGCGCAGTGGCTCACGCCTGTAATCCTAGCACTCTGGGAGGCAGAGGTGGAAGGATCGTTCAAGGTCAGGAGTTTGAAACCAGCCTGACCCAAGAGCGAGACCCCGTCTCTACTAAAAAAATAGAAAGAAATTAATTGGCCAACTAAAAATCTATATAGAAAAAATGAGCCGGGCATGGTGGTGCACGCCTGTAGTCCCAGCTACTCGGGAGGCTGAGGCAGGAGGATCGCTTGAGCCCAGGAGTCTGAGGTTGCTGGGAGCTAGGCTGACGCCACGGCACTCACTCTAGCCTGAGCTACAAAGTGAGACTCTGTCTCAAAAAAAAAAAAAAAAAGAGTCAACTGTAGTTGCAACAGAGACCACAGTTCCCTCAAAGCTGAAAACATTCACTATCTAGCCCTCCAGAGAAAACGTTCTCAGACCCCTGCATGAACCAAGCAAACTCCCCTCCCACCTCCCTCACCGTCCCGACACGGCCGTCCCACTCCCCTTCCACCCTTCGCCCATCCCTGGCCCCTGCCCACCCAGGCTACGGTACCCCAGCTGCCTGCCCGCTGCCCCCGCACGCCGTTCTCTCCCGCTGGGCGGCACCCAGCCCCTTGCAGCCAGACATCTGACCCCCAGGGAAAAGAACAGGAAGTGGCGAAAGTCATATGGGGTCTGGAACCCGGGTCTGACGGGGACCCGGGCTTTGACCGAAGACTCTGGTCCTCGCAAGACGCAGGCTCCGAGCGCGAGGCGCTGGGCTGGGGCGGGGCGTGCGGGCGGCTCCCGTGCTCGGGACCCCCCAGCTCCGGGTGGAGGCCGGCCGGGCGGCTCTCACCTGTGACCAGGCTGGAGACGATGAGGGGCAGCACCAGCATCTGCAGCATCCTCATGAGCAGCTCTCCGGGAAAGGAGAAGTACTTGATCTGGCGGTAGGTGAGCTGGCACGGGCGCAGGGCAAAGGCCAGGCTGACCCCTAAGGCCAAAAGGAGGGGATCACGGCCGAAGCCTGGGTCGCTGAGCCCCAGGCAGGGCCCGTCCGCGCCAAGGAGGGTGTGTGGGGGCAGGAGTGAAGGAAAGAGAAAAACGTTCAACAATGCAAACATTCAACACGGTGTGTGTGTGCATGCATCGGTACGTGTGTGCGCTGTAAAAATGTCTGACTCTATGGGCTAACATGTTGATATGTGCGTAAATGTATAAACGTCCCGCAGCCATTAGCGTGTACACATGCATGCACACGACAGCGTATGTTCACTTGAGAACATGCACACGTGTACACCTGTAGACGTCGGCCCATACACGTGAAAGTGCACGTGCACCTTCCCGGCTGTGTCTACAGGTGTGATTTGTGTATACGTTACTGTTTTTGAACATTGGAATGTGTGTGCATTTAATGTGTGTGCATTTAATGTGTGTGCATTCAACCACCTCAGCCGCGACGCCCGGCCCACAGCCGCACTCACTGTCCGCTCAGCAGTCTGCGCTGCGCATTGACCACGCGTCCGTTTTGCTCTTGTGTGATGAGGAAAGCCTTTTATTTAATTTTTTTTAGACAGAGTCTCGCTCTGTTGCCCAGGCTAGAGTGAGTGCCGTGGCGTCAGCCTCGCTCACAGCAACCTCAGACTTCCTGGGCTCGAGCGATCCTCCTGCCTCAGCCTCCCGAGTAGCTGGATACAGGCATGCGCCACACGCCCGGATTTTTTCATATATATTAGTTGGCCAATTAAGTTCTTTCTATTTATAGAGGACGGGGTCTCGCTCTTGCTCAGGCTGGTTTCGAACTCTGACCTCGAGCATCCTCCCGCTCAGCTCCAGAGTGCTGGGATTACAGGCGTGAGTCGCCGCGCCAGGCACGAGGAAGCTTGAAGCACTGAGAGCTTGTTTTACTTTACGGCAGCTCTACTTGTCATGTCAACCAGAATAGGTAACATACATACATGTTTTCACTAGTTATTTTTAAATGTTCACATTTTATTTTGATAGATGAAAAATCAGAAAAGTCGTATCACGGCTGCCGGCTAAAGTCGCTGTGCGCATGCACCTGTGGCTGTCGCCTGCAGTCGAGGCTGGGCCCGAAGCGGTTAAGCTCATCGGTGTGCGCATGCGTGCTCGGAGACGATTGCAAGGCTTACGCCTTGCGTGTGTTCAGGATTCTGACACGTGTGTGCGCGTGAGTTTGTTTGCACCTGTACCGTTCTGTGCGTGCATGAAAACACGTTCGCGCTTCTGTGCGTGCACACGTGACGCGTGTCTGTGCCGTGTGTGTGCACGTGAGTGCGTGTGCGCACACACGGATGTACACGTGGGCTGGCGCGCGCCCACCTGTGTGAGCGCGTGCTTATAGAGCTTGGAAGGAGGGGGGCAGTGGGGCGCGTCTGCGTGCAGGTGAGAAGGGACACGCGCAGGGGGTGGTGTGCAAAAGCGAAAAGCGTGGGTGAGGTGGCGGGCCCCGCTGGGAATGTCCCCCGAAGTCCCCGCTCCGGGCGCGGCAAGAGCTCACCGATGACCACGGCGCTGACGGTGAGCAGGATGAAGGCGTGGCGGCGCAGAAGCGCAGCACGTGCTCGCGGGTCAGGGTCTGCAGGCGCAGGCGCGTGCGCAGCGCCCGCTGCTGCAGCCCGTCCCGCAGCCGCCCCGGCCAGCCCGCGCCGCCCAGCCGCTGGCCGCTGTCGCGAAACAGGCTGTTGCCATGTGCTCATGGCTCTCTGCGGGGAAGAGAGGCGCGGGTCCGGAGAGGCGGGCAGAGGGGAGGGGTGGAAAACGGGGTGGCACTTGGGGAAACTGGAGACAGCCGGGAGGGGGGAAGCCAGTCTTGCAGTGCCGGGCTCGCCAGTGGACACCACCCGGGTTCTAGCGTGGCGCGTCCGGCAGGAAAGGGTTAAGGGTCCCCAGAAACCCCAGGCACCCCCCCTCCCCGCAGGGCTGGGGAGAGGCCAGAGGCAGAAAGCCACACGCTAATGGGCGCTCTGGCCATTTTTCATATTTCACGGAGGTCATCACAGGCAATTGGGGTTGCCCCGGCTCGCCAGCCCAAACTAACAGGCCTTTGCTAAGTGCCAGCCGCATGCGGAGCCGCCAGAACGCGGCCTGCGGAGCTGGTCCCCAACATCATTAACACAGTGTGCGGTGCCCAGCCCGGACGTTGTTCCGCAGGGACAGAAGCAGCAGGTGCCTGGCAAACAGCAGGTGCCTATAATGCAGCTGCCCGCTTAAATGCCAGGTGAGCAAGGGGAGGGGAAGGGGAGTGATGAGGAAGGAAATGGTGACAATTCCAGGCCCCAGTGTCGAGTCCCTCTGGTGTAGCGGGCACCGCACTGGGATGTCTTTCCAACCTCAGGATTTTGTGTCTTTTCTTTACATTTGGCATATATCCGTGTACCGTCACTTACATTTCTAAAAAAAAAAAAATCTAAAATGAAAACTGTAGACCACTCTCGAAATGTTATTATATTTTTCATAAATTAAATAAAATGCATATAGAGATAAAAACCCTACCCGTCCATTTGCCAACTAAACACTTTACTTGTCCAGGGCAGCTTAGAATCTAGACTTCACAGACCTGAGGGACTTTTTCCTTCATGGATCTTTTCCTCATTAAAAAGCAACTATGTTAGGCCGGGCGCGGGGCTCGCGCTGTCGTCCCAGCACTCTGGAGGCCAAGGCTGGGCGGGTCGCTCAAGGTCAGGAGTTCGAAACCAGCCTGAGCAAGAGCAAGACCCCGTCTCTACTATAAATAGAAAGAAATTAGCTGGACAACTAAAAATATAGAAAATATTAGCCGGGCATGGTGGCGCATGCCTGTAGTCCCAGCACTGGAGGCTGGAGCAGGAGGATCGCTGAGCCCAGGAGGTTGAGTTGCTGTGAGCGAGGCTGACGCCACGCACTACTCTAGCCTGGGCGAGAGTGAGACTCTGTTCAAAAAAAAAATATGTAGATGGTAAAATTATATCTTACAGCTGCATTGGTATAAAGATAAACATATCGTGTTAGGACTAGATAGAGGTGCCGGCTGCACAGCGTGGTGAGAGTGCTCATGCCACTGAGCTTCCCAGCGGTGGATTCTGTGTTAGTGAGTCTCACCTCAATTTTTAAAATGGATATATTCCTATTACACATGAAAACATTTTCTCCGACCTAAAAGTTTATTTCTTTTTCTGATTTTAAAAGAAGTGAGCCGGGCGCGGCGGCTCACACCTGTCATCCAGCACTCTGGGAGGCCGAGGCAGGTGGATTACTCAAGGTCAGGAGTTCGAGACCAGCCTGAGCCAGAGCGAGACCCGTCTTTACCAAAAATAGAAAGAAATTAACTGGCCAACTAAAAAATATATATATTACACACACAACACATATAATTAGCTGGGCTGGGCATAGTGGTGCATGCCTGTAGTCTCAACTACTCGGGAGGCTGAGGCAGGAGGATCGCTTGAGCCCAGGAGTTGGAGGTTGCTGTGAGCGAGGCTGAGCCCACGGCACTCTAGCCGGGCAGACAGAGTGAGACTCTGTCTCAAAAAAAAAAAAAAAAAAATGGTAGCAGAGGGTTGTAGAGGGCGCGGGGGTGGGAGGTTGGGGAGGTTGGTAAGTGGATACAAAGTTGCAGGCAGAGCCCCGGCGCATCCCAGCGCTTTGAGGGCTTGAGCCCAGGAGTTGGAGGTGACAGTGAGCTGTCATCGCACACGGCTTGCAGCCTGGTGACGAAGAGCGAGACCCAGTCTCAAAAAAAAAAAAAAGAAAAGAAAAGAAAATCATTAGCAATAAACAGTTTAGCTACACAGGAGAAGGCAGTCGTGTTCTGCAGCCCTGTGGAGCAAACGTGGTTAGTGACAGTTAACCGCATGGAGCCACATCAGGGGATCGTCAATGCCACAAGCCAAAGAAATAATAAATGTTTGGCCAGGCGTGGTGGCTCACGCCTGTAAACCTAGCACTCTGGGAGGCGAGGCGGCGGATTGCTCAAGGTCAGGAGTTCAAAACCAGCCTGAGCGAGAGCGAGACCCCGTCTCTACCATAAAAATAGAAAGAAATTAATTGGCCAACTAATATATATATATAAATGAGCCGAGCATGGAGGCGCATGCCTGTAGTCCCAGCTACTCGGGAGGCTGAGGCAGGAGATCGCTGGAGCCAGGAGTCTGAGGTTGCTGTGAGCGAGGCTGACGCCACGGCACCTCCTAGCCTGGGCAACCCGAGTGAGACTCTGTCTCAAAAATAAATAAAAAATAAAAATAAAAAATAAAAATAAAAATGTTTGAGGTGGCAGATTGCTGATTGCCCTGATTTGATCTTTTATGCCTTGCATTGCATGTATTGAAATATCATCCTGTCCCATAAATATGTACAATTATTACGTGCCAACTCAAAATAAAAAGAAAAAAAAAAAAGAAATGAAAACAGTTCTGCCGGTCCCTAAAAGCAGTGCGGGCTCTGGGTGCTGGCCTTCTTTCCTGCGGGGTGGGCCACACTCACCTACGCGGACCTCGCAGCCAGGCGTCCTCAAACCACGGCCCGCGGGCCACCTGCGGGTGTTTTTGCCCGTTTGTTTTTTTTACTTCAAAATAAGATATGTGCAGTGTGCACAGGAATTTGTTCATCGTTTTTTTGTTAAGCTATAGTCCGGCCCTCCAGTGGTCTGAGGGACAGTGAACTGGCCCCCTGTTTAAAAAGTTTGAGGGCCCCTCCTGTATGTGGCCAAAAGGTAGAGTGACCCCAATCCAGGCAGGCTGGGGATCTGGTCATCTTTCTAAATCCACTCTCAGGCTTCCTCCCCTGGGTCCCAGCCCTGTTCCCTCCCGGCTCCTTATCTTAAAGGCTTTCCAACTCCTCCTTTCGAATGTGCCGGGCCCTACCAGTACGCCAGATTCACCCGACTCTTGGAGAAAAACTCTCTGTGAACCAAAGGAAGACATTCAAGGGCTGCATCCTGCACGGGACTCTGCGGCCACCTGGCTTGCCTGAGATCTTCACACTAACGAAGAGAAGGGGTTCACTTCCCACGGCCACTTTCTGAGGGACCCCGGCTCCCCGTCCCGCCTCTCTCCGCCCCCCACCCCACCCCAAGGATCACCCCCAGCGCCTGAAACGGAATGCATCCAGCTCAGAGCTGGAAGGCTCTCGGCGGTCGCTCAGTCGCACCAATATGTAGGTGCCTGGAGATTGTTTTATTTTATTTTTTTAATTATTATTATTTTTATTTTTTTCCGCTGCCACTGGCTGAGCAGCTACTTTTCTGGGATCGCCCTCACCCTCGTCGGCTCCCCAAATCCGAGGGATGGGACATTGCCTTGGCTCCCCAGGCCATGTGCCCCCGGGTCTGAGCCCTGCTTGCCAGCGCAAAGCCTCAGCTGGGACCCTGTTCCAGACGGGCCGGGCTCCCGAAACCGCCATGCTGTTCTCAACTTGCTGTGAAAAAAGAACACCCCAGATGGGAAGCCACAGGCTGCCCAGGAAACACAATCCCTCCCTCTGCCCCGGAGTATCACGGTCCCAGCCACCGAACAGTGGGGGGAAGTTGGCCGTGGGCACCAAGAGCCATCACGGAGCTGAGATCTGAGCTAGTTAGGAACACTCAAGAGCCTGGAGTTTTCCCTGGAGGACACAGTACCGTACTGACAGAGCATGGTCTTCGGGCCAGGGCTGGCCTCATTGTCTGTTTCTGTCAATAAAGTTTTATTGGCACACGGCCATGCTCATTCCTCACGGACTGTCCACAGCTGCTGTCGAGCCCCAGTGGCGGAGCTGAGTTGCTGGAACAGAGATTCGTGGGCCACAAAGCTGAAAATACTTGCCCTCTGGCCCTTCACTGAAAACATCTGCCAAGCCCCAGCCTAGGGAAGAGCCTGTGACTCTTAGAACAGCATCTGGTGACCAGGAGACAGATGTTGACCGTGGCTGGCAAGAAGCAGAAACCCAACACGCACAAAATCAAGAACAGAGAAAGATGCATTCCTGGCTCACGCGTACCATGGTGACGCCGCCACTAAAAATAATATTAGGTTTTGAAAAATACACGACTTGAGATGGGACCTCCATGTGGGCCTTTGCGGGTCTCTCTTGGATTTGGGGGCATTCTCCCATCACCCTGGGGCCCCTTCTGTTCTAGTCTCTCCTGGTTCCCGGCCCTGCCTCTCAGGCCCCTGCCCTGCAAGTGGCCTTTGTGGCCGCGTCCCCGAGGCCTTGCAGGGTGAGGGGTTCAGTTCCGCTGGTGGATTCTGTTACGTTGAGTCTCACCTCAATTTTTAAAATGGATTATTCCTATTACACATGAAAACATTTCTCCGACCTAAAAGGTTTATTTCTTTTTTCTGATTTAAAAGAAGTGGAGGCGGCGGGCGGCTCACACCTGTCATCCTAGCCACTCTGGGAGCCGAGGCAGGTGATTACTCAGGTCAGGAGTTCGAGACCAGCCTGAGCCAGAGCGAACCCGTCTTTACCAAAAAAATAAGAAGAATTAACTGGCCACAAAAAATATATATAATTACACCACACACACATATAATTTAGCTGGGCTGGGCATAGTGGGCATGCCTGTACGTCTAACTACTCGGGAGCTGAGGCAGGGGATCGCTTGAGCCAGGAGTTGGAGGTTGCTCGTGAGCGAGGCTGATGCTCAGCACTCCTCTAGCCGGGCACAGAGTGAGACTCTGTCTCAAAAAAAAAAAAAAAAAGTGGTAGCAGAGGGTGTTAGAGGCGGGCGGGGGTGGGGAGGTTGGGGGTTGGTAAGTGGATACAAAGTTGCAGGCAGGCCCCGGCGTCCCAGCGCTTTGGGAAGAGAAGCCCTGTGGGTTTGAGCCAGGATTGGAGGTGACAGTGAGCTGTCATCGCACACGGCTTGCAGCCTGGGTGACGAGTAGAGCGAGACCCAGTCTCAAAAAAAAAAAAAAGAAAAAAGGAAAATCATTAGCAATAAACAGTTTAGCTACACAGGAGAAGGCAGTCGTGTTCTGCAGCCCTGTGGAGCAAACGTGGTTAGTGACAGTTAACCGCATGGAGCCACATCAGGGGATCGTCAATGCCACAACGCAAAGAAATAATAAATGTTTCAGGCCGGGCGTGGTGGCTCACGCCTGTAACCTAGCACTCTGGGAGGGCGAGGCGGGCGGATTGCTCAAGGTCAGGAGTTCAAAACCAGCCTGAGCGAGAGCGAGGACCCCGTCTCTACCATAAAAATAGAAAGAAATATTGGCCAACTAATATATATATATATAAATGAGCCGAGCATGGAGGCGCAATTGCCTGTCAGTCCCTACTCGGGAGGCTGAGGCAGGAGGATCGCTGGAGCCAGGAGTCTGAGGTTGCTGTGAGCGAGGCTGACGCCACGGCACCTCTAGCCTGGGCAACGAGTGAATCTGTCTCAAAAAATAAATAAATTAAAATAAAAATAAAAAAATAAAAATAAATGTTGAGGTGGCAGATATGCTGATTGCCCTGTTTGATCTTTATGCCTTGCATTGCATGTATTGAAATATCATCCTGTCCCATAAAATAGTACAATTATTACGTGCAACTCAAATAAAAGGTGAGGTTGCTGTGAGCGAGGCTGACGCCACGGCACTCACTCTAGCCTGGGCGACAGAGTGAGACTCTGTCTCAAAAAAAAAATATGTAGATGGTAAAATTATATCTTACAGCTGCATTGGTATAAAGATAAACATATCGTGTTAGGACTAGATAGAGGTGCCGGCTGCACAGCGTGGTGAGAGTGCTCCATGCCACTGAGCTTCCCAGCGGTGGATTCTGTGTTATGTGAGTCTCACCTCAATTTTTAAAATGGATATATTCCTATTACACATGAAAACATTTTCTCCGACCTAAAAGTTTATTTCTTTTTTCTGATTTTAAAAGAAGTGGAGGCCGGGCGCGGCGGCTCACACCTGTCATCCCAGCACTCTGGGAGGCCGAGGCAGGTGGATTACTCAAGGTCAGGAGTTCGAGACCAGCCTGAGCCAGAGCGAGACCCCGTCTTTACCAAAAATAGAAAGAAATTAACTGGCCAACTAAAAAAATATATATATACACACACATACACATATAAATTAGCTGGGCTGGGCATAGTGGCGCATGCCTGTAGTCTCAACTACTCGGGAGGCTGAGGCAGGAGGATCGCTTGAGCCCAGGAGTTGGAGGTTGCTGTGAGCGAGGCTGACACCACGGCACTCACTCTAGCCTGGGCGACAGAGTGAGACTC